GGGGGGGGTGCTGAAAAAGGCTCGTATTACAAAAGAAAAATATCGACCCGTATTGACTTTACACACCGGACTTTTTCCGAAAGGGGGGGGGGGGGTTGCTGGGAACACGCATATGCGTACCCTAAATAAAACTGAGTGGGTGGGGGGAGGGGGGTGGCGGGGACAGTCCGTACAAAAATGCTTGAGACATGTGGAATTTAATCCTATTGGTATTGTATTTAAATAGAAGGTTGAGTCTTGATAAAGACACTTACAATTTATGTTTTTAGATATGTACATCTGGGTTCATATTCGTTAAACCTCACCAAGTCTAGTTGTCAACTATAAAGCCTATGTAATTAGTTGGCAACTATAATGGTTTTATCAATATGGACCCCGGTCAGTAGCCAAAGAGAGAGAGAGAGAGAGAAAGAGACAGACAGAGACAGAGCTTTCGGAGAAAATAGCACTACGTGACTCATAAAATGAGAAGTATTAGATTGTCCAAATAGTATTTACAGAGTTATATAGTGACATTTTGGGATCCCAAAACCAAAATAATGATCTTAAAACCAAAATAAAAGGTTTGAGTAAAATCACCAAATCATCGAGGTGCTGCCAATAATTCGTTGTTGTCTACATAATTTATAATTTAAAGCAGGGGTTCTCAAACTTTTTCTTTGACGGTCCAGATGTGATTGCTATGAAAGCTGTAAGGTCCTAAACATGGGATGCCATTCGCCTGATAATTATTATGGTCAATTGTTGAGGGTCCTGGCAGAGCCCCTGTCGGGGGGCTCCGGGGCGGAGCCCCAAGATGTTCTCGAGTTTATTTGACTTTCAAGAGAGAAATGGTCTATATAAAGAGAGATAGAGAGGTTATTTATAAAATGAAATGAAAAGGGTTTGGAGAGTCAAATAGCCCTTTCAGATCCTTGCAATGTAATTTCTTACCTTATATTTTAAATATTGTTGAGAAGACAGTTCAAGCATTTTAAAGATGGAACTCTTTTTTATCTTAAGGGGGGAGCTATGTTTCGAAACTTTTACATATTCATGTATAGTACATTAATGGTAATATCATTATGGTAATAGCATGCACAGAAGCCTGGATTATGAACACTTGATTTTGTCAATACAAAAGACAATGGCCGTCTTATTCTTTTATTAATCTTTTTTTGAATTTCTATTGTTATTACTGTTGTGTTGTTATGATTTTATGATATGATTTTACCATCTAATGTCACCTTGTTGTGACAATAGTTTACTGATTGAATGAACTCTATTCTAAGTCGTCGACGGTAACATTTTCTGAAAAAAGTCAGAAGTTTACCGTAGATTATTTCATTCGAACACATCTCATACTTTTGAAGTTCAGTTCGTAGCTTGATTATCGATAATCAGTGGTAGATGTTGACCTGTTATAGAGACTGCGCAGATGCAGTCCAATGTAGTCAGAGCCGATGAGATCTCGTCGAGCAGAATGACATGTATTTGTGTTTTATACGTGGAGAGGGACGGGGCTGAAATTTCCCCCCTCCCCAAGGACAACCATCCCCGGGGGCAATTATTCCCCCCTAGGACAATTACCCCCCACCCCAGTTAACAATTACCACTAAGTACCCTCTCCCAAGGAAAACCAAGGACAACCACCTAAACAAAAATTACCCCTGCCCTAAAATTACCCCCTGTTCATTAAAGAGGAAGTCCACCCTGAAAATAAGTTGGTTTTGATATACACAAATACACTTTGGGCGACCTTCCACGCAAGCCGCCGTAAGTGGCGCTACAGTTGGGGGGCAGCTGGGGGGCTTCTGGATAGCACCTGAATGGAAAATTTGAATGAGCGAGAGCTCGTTCGTACTTAGGCCCGCATCTACTGGCGGTGTGGTGAGAGTGCCTCCGTACCGTAAGATCGAACTCACAACTCTGCTCCAGCTAGCTAAAATTCCTTGAATTATTTATATTCTAACTCTAAATCATTCCGTCTCTCACTCTCTTCAATTCAATAAAATCATCTGCATGTTAACATACACGATAATGAATATGTGGGGCACCGTTACAACGGCGTCTCCCAAACTTCGATTGCCGAAAACGCACGCAAAACTCGCCAATGACGGACATCATCTACCCATTCATCCATCGTAAATGAAATAAATTTAGACAAAATGAAGTTGAAATGTCCGAAAGCGGCAAGGAATAATAAGTGGTTTGTCTGTGAGAAAGCAATGATCGTTGCATGCAAGATGAAAGCGCAAGCTGATAGAAGCCCCCCAGCGTGTAATGATAAACGTAGAGGGCTCACATCCATGAAAATTCGCCCGTATCGGTGTATAGGCAGAACTTATCTAGGTGGCTAATTTACCAGGAGGTAATTGTCTTCTGGGGCAATTTTAAGGGGGGGGGGGGTAATTGTGTTTAGGGTTTAATTGTCCTAGCACCGCTACAATATTTTTTTCTTTCAATTAATGTATTAATATTTGTATGTATTAATTGTTTAACCGTACATTAATCTGGCTTGATACTGTTGTTTAGCGCTGTCTGCCAAATTCTAAACTGCTTAAACAATCACACGAATTATTTTGGTGGAAAAACTGTTGAAAGAGCAAATTTACGAGTTCACACAAAACCAAGATAAGTCAATTTTGTCTTGTTGTGTTTTTATTGTTTATATTCCTTGATGTTTACATATGGTGTGTTGTATAATTCTTGCTATCACTATTCACATTTATTATGTGTTCATACATCCCCTGCTCATATGGTTATATACTAATGTTGACTTTGATTGCATTTTCTAATTCTACTTATTAAATTTAGATTTTTTCCTAAACATCTACCCTTACAAAACGTGGTGTGTATGTGTGTGTATGTTTGTGTGTGCGTGTGCGTGTGTGTGTGTCTGCCTGTCTTTGTTCAATGCACTGTTTTATTCCTCACCTAGTAAGTTGGCGCAAGTGAAATCTGGCAGTCTTGTAAAGATTGTCTGATGTTCAGTCATGCGTGAAGGGATTCAAATGAAAATTGTACCTAAATTTACTGGGAGGATAACTCTATAAAGACATATCATTAAACCCCTAATTAAATATTCATACTTCAAACAATACAACTTTTAAAAAGTGGGACATTCTTTCTGACTCACCCTGTGGAGAAAAAAGGAACATAGCTTGGAGAAGACTTCAGAAAACAAGCTTGACCGCGCATTAATATGTTTAATCAGTACTCTATGTTTTTGCTTTTTTTCCATTTATTTATTGAATAATAATACGTACATAAGAGACACAAAATTATCTCGATTACAAAGAAAAGCACATGAATTATACTAATATCACAAAAAGAATTATACTTTTTTGCTGAACAAAGTCAACATTTTCTTCCAGAGATGATGCTTTTCAACGATTGCCCTTCATAATATTTCCTTCAAATAAATGTCGAATATGTTTTAAAATTACCATTTTTTTTGTTGCGTATATAAAACATAAGAAGCTAAATTAATTAATAGATTTTAAAAAAAGTACATATTTTGAATTCATATAATCACATTGCTTGCCTACAATTATATCACTGTATTCAATTTTTTCATTATCAAACAATACTTTTGTTTTTCTGAGAAAAATTAAGACCTTGTTCCGAAATATTTTTGAGTTCTCACAGTCATAAAATAAATGATAATAATTTTCTGTTCATTTGCACTTCAAAAAATAATCATGATCAGATCTTTTGAAACGATGTAGATATTCTTCACATGCTAATAACTTATAGAGTAGTTTGGAATTAAACTGTTTTAATCGTTTTTCCTTAACGTATGTCAAATTCATTATCCATATATTTGCCCAGGATAATTTTTCTCCCAAACAAATTCCCAATAAATTTGAACATTTGAATTTATGAAGGTTATATCAACCAATATCTTATACATAGTTTGTGATTTGTTGTTCATTTTATAACTGATATAATTATAATGATATATTTTTGGTGTCAATTCTACAAAATGAAGACGTGTATTTTTATATGAGCACAAAACAGTTTCACATTTTAATTTTCTTTTCCAGTAACGAGGTATACACTTCCAAAGTAATTTAACCTCACATAAATAATTATTTTTAATACAAAATAATTCTTTTGCCCGATTTACATCCACATCCCCTTTGGCGTATAATGTTCCCAATAAATTATATTCCAGATTTTAGCCAGTGTTTCTACCATCAGTGGCGGATCCAGGGGGGGGGGGGGGGCCCGGGGAGCCCGCCCCCCCCTGGGAAAAAAACGTGTAAAAACACCTGATTTTTACCTTTTTGGGCGATGGCCCCCCCCCCCTGGCGCTCAAGGGGGGGGGGTGCACATTTTAAAATTTTAGAGGGACAAAAAAAAAATGTGCTCACTATCCCCCACTGAGCGACTTTTCGGCCGTCGCCATTTTGCGATTTTCAAATTTTCGGGAGCCAAAAAAAAAAAAAAAGTGCTCACTACCCCTCCCCCCTCCCCTAAGAAATCCTGGATCCGCGCCTGTCCACTACTCCACCATAAACATAATTTGTTTCTTTTATATAAGTGTTTCTCCATAACCGCTGCATTCTAATATTATTGACCTCATTACATGATTTATTTACACATTGACATTTTTTCCATGTGGAAATACATTGTTTGTAAAATAAAGGTGTTTCTTTTAGAACTGTTAAATCTTCGTTTTTAAGAAACTCAGCTTGAGCACTTAAAATTTAGGACCAAGATAGTTTTAATAATAAAATGGGAGCATCTTTTATTTAAAAATAAACTTGGCACAAGGGGATTCGTGGCTTGGCACAATGGGGATTAGCCCTGTGGCCCTCGGCTGTATTCATTATGGCACGATAAGAGTTAAACAACAAATTGATAAATTATACCATTTCCATCTGTTCGTGTATTTAGCACAGTTTTGAATTTGCCTCAAAATGAATGTATAACACAAAAATCCGTTTGACTTTCAGATCTCTAACATCAGAACAATAACATGCATTTAATAGGCACAGAAGTCAAGTTTGATATTTCTTCTCATCTAAAGTATATTTTAATTGAAGCATCTGGTATTGTCATTTGTGACCGCAAAACTAGCTTAAATGTTATTCATGATGCGAATATGTCAGTAACTCAAACTTTTAGTACGTCTTTCTTTATTGCTATCGAAATCAGTTAAAATATTTTGAATTTAATTCGGGAACATATATTATACAAGCTGTGTCTTTTATTAGGTTCCACATAATGTCACATCATCAATTTTCTATGTTACATTTCTGTCATTGTTTAATGCATTCTCTTGTTAAAACTTATGTATGAGAGAGCATTGTAATTTGTAATGAGTGTGGAACAATAAACCAAACAAAAGCCTTAACACCAAACTACCCCTCTACAACATATTCGCGTTATTGTATATAATTATGTTTATATACAAATGTGCCATTTAATCATTCAAACAAATATCCTACACTCACATCATACATGATTGTGTATCAACCTAAGCTCATTTACATATAATCATTACAAAATAGTCAGATAGTCCCTACCACCAACAGTAAATGACAAACTACAAAGCGTCCTCATAAAATTACATAATTACATCAATATTAAAATTACATACAAATCTTAACACAACACGATCGCAAAACTTTCACACACAAAAAAAATCAACTTTAGGCAAATTTCAAGAGACTGAAGCGTTACATAATGAAATTTGGAAACACAACTATGCTATATCACGTAATTCGAACATAATTTCAATGGAATAGAGATTGACCTGATTACATCAAAGTCTTTGTGCTTGTGTTTACTGCAAGAATCATTTGCTGGCTATTAGTCACAAAAGATTAATCGTTCACACGTTAATCATCGCAGCCTGATGGTTTGATATCTAATTTTATTGTTCAAAATATGGATTGGTATGAGGTATGGGAGACGAAGATTCGAACATAGTCCCACTCGTAGCTATTGGTGTTCGTCCGGAACTTCCTTGGGACTCCACCTGCCACTTTTCCTCAACAGTCGACTGCAAATACAACGTCGCCAATTCTTCCTGATTTCTGTGTTACGAAGACAATAGAGGACGAAGATGAAGAAGCCTTGCAAAGAGTTGAAGATGATGAAGAGGAGTTCAGTGTAGTCCACATTGATCAGGGCCAGGTATCCAGTAGTCCAGGTGCAGCCAAGCAGGATCAACGTGGCGATGCCATTCTGGATCCGTTTTAGGGTCTCATGTCGTTCGGTCTTGCGGTCCTTCTTCACACGCCCTGAAGTTCGTACAGATTTTTCCACACGACACATTGCCAGGATGAACACAGTGATATTGATGATGAGGATGATGGCCATTGGGATCAGGAGACCACCAATCAGGGGCCATTTCCGGATGTAACAACTGTCGATGGAGATATAGAGAAAAAGGAACATTGCTTGGAGAAGACTTTAGAAAACAAGCTTGACCGCGCATTAATATGTTTAATCAGTACCCTATGTTTTGCTTTTTTCCATCATTTATTTATTGAATAATAATACGTACATAAGAGACACAAAATTATCTCGATTACAAAGAAAAGCACATGAATTATACTTATATCACAAAAAGAATTATACTTTTTTGCTTAATATAGTCAACATTTTTTACAGACATGATGCTTTTCAACGATTGCCCTTCATAATATTTCCTTCAAAAAAATGTCGAATATGTTTTTAAAGTTACCATTTCTTTTTACGTATATAAAACATAAGAAGCTAAATTAATTAATAGATTTTAAAAAACTACATATTCTGAATTTATCAAATCACATTGCTTGCCTACAATTATATCACTGTATTCAATTTTTTCATTACCAAACAATACTTTTGTTTTTTCTGAGAAAAATTAGACCTTGTTCCGAAATATTTTTGAGTACTCACAGTCATAAAATAAAAGATAATAATTTTCTGTTCATTTGCACTTCAAACAATAATCATGATCAGATCTTTTGAAACGATATAGATATTCTTCACATGCTCATAACTTATAGAGTAGTTTGAAATTAAACTGTTTTATTCGTTTTTCCTTAACGTATGTCAAATTCATTTTCCATATATTTGCCCAGGATAATTTTTCTCCCAAACAAATTCCCAATAAATTTGAACATTTGGATTCATAAAAATTCTATCAACCAATATCTTATATATAATTTGTGATTTTTTGTTCATTTTATAACTGATATATAATGATATATTTTTGGTGTCAATTCTACAAAATGAAGACGTGTATTTTTATATGAACACAAAACAGTTTCACATTTTAATTTTCTTTTCCAGTCACGAGGTATACACTTCCAAAGTAATTTAACCTCACATAAATAATTATTTTTAATACAAAATAATTCTTTTGCCCGATTTACATCCACATCCCCTTTGGCGTATAATGTTCCCAATAAATTATATTCCAGATTTTAGATAGTGTTTCCACCATAAACATATTTGTTTTCTTTTATATATGTGTTTCTCCATAACCGCTGCATTCTAATATTATTGACCTCATTACATGATTTATTTACACATTGACATTGTTTCCATGTGGAAATACATTGTTGGGAAAATAATGGTGTTTCTTTCAGAACTGTTAAATCTTCGTTTTTAAGAAACTCATCTTGAGCACTGAAAATTTAGGCCCAAGATACTTTAAATAATCAAATGGTAGAATCTTCCATTTAAAAATTATGATCTTTATTATCCATTAACTTAAAGAGCCAATTTACTTTTAAAGTAAAACTTTGCAAAACAAAATTTGGCATATTCAAACCTCCTTTATCAATTGACCTGATTATAGTTTTTCTCTTTACTCTATCTAAAGTATCCAAGATTGTAAATGAGTTTTTCAATTTGATTATTTGTACAATCAATATTTGGAAAAACTAACACACTATAAGTAATATTTGACAGGTGATGTCACTAGAGTTATTTTACCAAAGTGTGTCAACTTTCTACATTTCCACTGTTTAATTTGGTTTTCAATATGTTCTACATTTTCCTTCCATGTTTTTACAAACTGATTAGATCATGTGATTTCCTTATATTGTTCTACATTAAAATCACCAAAATGAAAACCTTTTGGTTTTGATACATTTAAAGTAGGTCCTGCTACATAACCAACAGTTTTTATTTACGCATGGCATTTTTAAAAGAAATTTCGTTTGCAACGGAAATTGTTGTATTATCTGCTAAAAAGCTAATTTTCACTTGAGTAGCAGGCATATCTCGTAATCCCGGTAATTGAACACCTTGAATAGCTTCATCTGATCTGATCTCAAATGCTAATATTTCGATGACAACTCAAAACAATAGAGCAGACACTGGACATCCTTGCCGAAGACCTCTTTGCAGAGAAAAAAAAAGATGTTTGCCAATAAATATTAACAATACAACTTTGAACATTTGCATGAAGAGTTTTTATATATCCAATAAATATACTACCAAAATTAAATTTGTCTAAGCTTTTGTAAAGAAAATCCCAACTTATTTGATCGAAAGCCTTTTTTAGATCCAAAAAGATAACAGCTCCGGAATTTTTTTTTCTTCAAATTAACATATTACATCATCGATCAAACGAATATTGTTCCCAATAAAACGTCCTTTAAGATATGCATTTTGATCTGAATCAATACAAACATTTAATACTTTTTTCAACCTTCCTGCTAACACAGATGCTAATATTTCATAATCGGTATTTAGGAGACTAATCGGCCTCCAATTTGAAAAATTTCTTTATCGCTTTTCTTATGTTAAAGGGTTACGACAGCTCTAGTTTGTGAAATAGGTAAATCTCCTACTAACAATGATGTTTTGAATTACTTTAACAGAATATGTTTCAAATTATTCCAAAAACATGGTAAAACTCAAAAGTCAAACCATTTTTTCTGAATCACAGTATCTATTTTTGTTTTTCATTTAATACATTATCAACCTTAATGTTTTTCAGATAATCATTCACTTCATTCTCTTATCCCGTCGCCGAATACAAACAAGAAAAATATTTAACTTCCGTTACAATCATATCTTTCATATTTCTGTATATTATTCCATTAAAATTTACTTTAAACATATTCTTTAACTTAAAGTTTCTTTTTCTAAGCCTAACAAATGTTTATTATTTTGCTCGCCATCATCATATCATTTGATTTTTGACCGTATTTGTGCACCATGTATTTCATATTCATAGAATTCTGACAATTGTCTTCTAACATGAGACAATTCGTTATCTTGATCTTCATTTGATATTCCAAGACTTGATAACCTGTCTTGTAAGAATAACTGTAAGCCTTTTCTTACCCTTGGCGTATTAATACAATAAATAAATGACATGTGTCTTATTTTCTGTTTGATCATGTCCCACAAAACTGATATATTTTCTGTTTTTTTAATTTTAATTTCGCTTCTAACTCATTAATAAGAGAAATTACATTTTTTTTGATAACCATCTTCTTGCAAAAGTGAGTTATTTAGTTTCCAAATGCCTTTGCCCTTTTTTTGCGGCCTTAAACTCGAATTTTTAATAAACTGCCCTATGGTTTGACATAAAGCGACCTAAAATGCCTATATCTTTAGCGAAATCATTCAACCATTCGGATAACAGTGCGAAGTCAATTCGAGACTGTACAAAGCATGGATAAGAATGTGTATGTGTAAATTCCCTTGCTTCAGGGTTTCTCAATCTCCATATATCAATTAAGTTTTTTAAAGAGATTTGGTAACGCAAATAGAAAGCATCATTACCATCTTTGATTATTCCTTAATTTTTGTCCTTTTTACAATTCAGGACCGTGTTAAAATCACCGGCTAAATCAACCCCTTCTCCTGGAAGTACATGTTCATGAAATAAATGAAAACGTTCTTGGAAAAAAAACCTTTCTGTGGCTTACTACGTTTGGTGCCTATAAATTAATAAACCAGATAGTTTCACCTGCAAACGAGACCCTAGTTGTAATTATCAAGCTCAAGGGCATTTGTTGTTTCCTCTATACCAGAGCTGTATTAAAGCAGTTCCGTTGATATTCTACAACAGTAGGAGTATTCAGTTCGAACTTCGAGATATAGATAAACACAAATTGAAATGCTTTAATTTGTCAGTAATTATCAACTTCTTGCAAGATTCCTCATGTGCAAGTAACTTACTAATCCTTGACAGCATAATAGTTCCTAGTGATTCCCCCAGTTACGGCAACAATCACAGCCGGGATACCTGAGTTTGAAAAGAAAAGGAAAACAAAGATTAGGAAAATAAGACAATGTCCCCTTTATACTCTATTACTCTATATACTTTGGAGTAAAAATGAATAAATATATGAGTAATTGAAACAAAATAGATACAGGAATAATTGTAAAAAGAAAAAGTAAATGAATTAAAAAATAAATTCATAACTAAATAAATAAACAAATGATAAACAAAGACTGAATGTTTCCCAAACCGCGCTCCGCTTTGCACAGGGTGGTCCTGATCATTCAGGGGTGGAATGGGGGGGGGGGGGATAGGGGAGAGGATAGGGGGAGTTGTGCAGAGTTTAGAGTCCTCTACGTCTACGTCTGTTAATTAACCACAACTGAACCGTCGATTATAGTAGAACCGACGATCAGGTGAAATCATATGATAAGTATGGAGAAAGCAAAGGTTCAGTCCAATGCACAAAAACGCATGGCAGCCTACACCAAAGGAAACATTTGTATTAGCCTCCGTAAGTAAATAGGGGAAACAACTCTAATATAAAAACAAGCGGCCGGTGCCATTGTAAGGGTGTGGTGAGTGTGTATGACGCGGCTATCCTCCTTTAACAAGACAAATGTCACAATAGTGAATACAGGAATCAAGTAAAAACAACCTCTGTCTGTTCTTGAAAAGTCTATGGTGACCATTAAGGTCATCTAGACACCTATAATGGTCTCGTCTCTTGTCAGTGATTTTTTTTTTTTAAGTACGCACTATAGTTGTATTTGGTGTATTATAACGAGATATCAACGGTTCTTACCCCATCCTACAATCGAAACTTTGGTCATCGAGATGTGATTATCAATACGTTTTATAATGGCCAGACTAAACCCCTCGATGCCCATCCACGTAAGCGAAGAGAGCACGAAGTAGTGGACGAGTGTCGCCAAGACGGTACACGGTATCAACTCGACCTCGGCATGCTGGAACTTTGTGTCGAGAGCGATGATGGCGAGGGAGACGGTGTAAAAACAGAGCAGGGTAGTGCAAAGACAGATGAAAATCTTGGTACTCTGATGTATATTCCTGTTGATGAAAGATGTTATCGTTTATACGTTTTTTTTTCTCCAAAGAAATAGACGAAAATTCGTTGATCTGATTTTACTAACAAGGGCAGTTCCGTGCAATGTGACCTGTATACGACATAATGTCTCCCCATCTGTTTTATTCCAAAATGAAAAACTCTGTAGACATTATATTACATTAGCTGCGCTATGAATCGATCGTATTATCAATGCTATCGTTACATTAACAACCATTATGTTATGATAGCATTGATAATACGATCGATGCATAGTGCAGTTAATGTAATATACTGACTTGCACCGTGGTGAAAAACATATCTTAAATTGACACACAACCAAAACTTTTTCAAAAGGCTTCTTAGACCCCGTTCTCATTCACTTCGTTGGAGCGGTCTAACTAAGACCCGTTCCTCAGGAGCAGTTCATAGGTGAGTGAGAACGGTCAAAGTGGTCCAGGAAGTGGACTTCTAGACCGCTCCAGAAGACCACCTCGGGAGGTGGTCTTGAGGAACGGGTCTTATTTAGAGCGGTTTGGACCGCTCTAACGTGCAATGTGAACGGAAGCGTACTTTGATCGGAAGTGAGCTAGTGACGTTCCGTGCGAAACATGTAGTACGGTACATACGGTTTGTATTCCGCGCGCGAAAAAATTGACCTGCTGACCTGAGCTGCAATAGCAACAAGACCACCTTGACTCGTGGAGCGGTTTGAGCCATACAAAACTGCTCGGAGTGTGAACGCTCGCAAACCGTTTATCAAGACCCGTTCCTCTGGAGCGGTCTAACTAAGACCACTTTCAAAGTGAGTGAGAACGTGGTCTTAGAACAGATGTGTCTCCAACAAAAGTTTGAGAACGGCCCAAGATGAGGCTTTTACATGTCTGGTGGAAGTTTTTCCAAAGCTTTGGAGATACACACACCGTCTAGAAGCAGACTGGTGAAAGTTGGCATGGAATAGGACACCCCCCCCCCCGAAAAAAACAAAAATAATAATAATAGTAATTGAAAGAAAAAAAAGAGTAAATATATAAATAAAAATAATGAATGGATGAATGTTTACAAGTTGTGATTTTTCTATGTTAATAATCTATAGGTGCTCAATGTTAGCTTAATTGGTACAGTCACTATGACGTAGTACCGGAACAAAATTCTCCATATGTTTAAACAATTTTTTTTCTTCAAAATGCATGACTCAGGAGGGTCCTTTCTTTTTAGAGGATCTGTGATAATATGCTATCCATGATATGTTTTGTGTAGTGCCCTGAGTGAGAAGACAAATAAGAGCAAAACAGAAATTAATTAAGTTTTTATAAACGACAGATGACTCAGTTGTCCATAACTACGTCACATTCCACTTTCCAAATTGCCAATTTAAGATTCCCATAGATTTTGTAATACGATGTTTCAAACATTCATAACTCCCTTATGATTGGTCCTGTTTATTCTAACTGTCTCCATTCTGTTTCTCTTTTCTAATTGGTTTCGTAAGAGTCGGAACTGTTGGATTGCCCTTTAATTGCCTTAAACATCGTCACATCCTCTATTGAAAAATGTGAACATTCAAATGACGTATTACGTTATCAGAATAATCATTATTCCTGAGGAATGTAAGCCGGCATATAAGCCTTTAAATCGGTACTTAAAATACCATTGAAATGTCTTTGCCATTGTTTTACTGATAGACATCTCTTAGTCTGTTTTAACTTTCATTTTCAATCACTTGTGTACATTATCATGTTCAAGTTCAAGTTCAAGTTTTATTTCCACATCTGATTAAAAAAAACACAAGTACAATTTATATGCATATATATATACATTAACAAACGTTAAAATGAAACACCTTCAATTTAAATCATAATGTGGTGGGAAAAAACAAAATTTACATAAAAAGTTTCTTAAATTTATTAAAAACGAGATAAAAAAAAAAGAGATTGAAATAACACAAAGCCTCAATTATCAAAACTAAACCGGACAAATCCATTACAAAAAGACAAGAAACAGAAAAGGCATTTATGTAAAAAAATAATAGTAATTATAAATATTCATTTACAAGATACTTCTTAAGTTTTCTTTTAAAAATTGATACAGTTGGGCATGTTTGGAGTTCTTGAGGTAGTTTGTTCCATAATTTTGGTCCGGCATAAATAATTGTTGTTCTTGAGAAATCATAAGTAAACATTGGCAGGTGGAAAAGATTTGATTGACGAGTTTCATAATTCGTCACATTTCTATTACAAATAAAACAGTCATCTAGAAACTTTGGAAGTATATTTTTAGAGTAAGAAAACATAAAGATACCAATATGTTGCTTATGTGTATCATAAATTGTTAATATACAATGTTTTCTAAATATAGGAGCAGTGTGGGAAAAAGGAAGTAAGTTTAAAATAATTCGTATTGCCCGTTTCTGAAGTTTCAGCACAATCTCCCCGCACTATGTTACAGTAGATAAGATAGGGAAGAATCATGGTATTATACAGATTAAGAAGAATATTAAAAGGTACAATTGTTTTAATTCTGTTCATTGCACCAATAGCTTTAGATATTTGACATGATACATAATGTACATGTTGTTTCCAAGTCAGTTTGTTGTCAATTCTTACTCCTAAAAAATTGTAGAATTTATTATCGATATTTTTTGTTGGTTGATACTTATTTCCATACAGGATGTATTACTATTTTTATTTTTGGGCTGAAATAACATACAGCATGTTTTTTGTGCATTCAATTTTAATTTATTTGCTTTAAACCATGTATCAATCAATTTAAGTTCCGTATTAACAGTAAAACACAATGTATCAATATTTTTACCAGACAAAAATAAACTTGTATCATCTGCAAAAATTATCGACTGTAAGATATTACTTACGAATTGAATATCATTAATATACAATAAAAAACAGTAACGGACCAAATACTGATCCCTGAGGGACACCAAATGGGTTATGTGCAATCTCAGAAGATAAATTATTTATACATACATATTGTACTCTATTATTTAAATAACTGGAAAACCACTTAAGTACAGAACCCCGAATACCATAAAATTGTAATTTTTGTAACAATATTTGATGACTTATACAATCGAATGCTTTGGTAAGATCTAAAAATATTCCAATAACAACTTTTTTTTTATCTTCAAATGATTTAGCAATAATATTCGTAAAATCCAAAAGAGCCATATATGTACTGTAATTTTGTCTAAACCCATACTGTTCATGGTATAATATATCTCTTTTACATAAGAAGGAAAATAGACGACTATAAACTAGCTTTTCAAAGATTTTTGAGAAAGTAGATAAAATTGATATCGGTCTATAATTATTTAAAATATGTTTATCTCCTTTTTTGTACACAGGAATTACCTTAGCCTTCTTGAAAGCAGTAGGAAAAACTCCAACTTGTAAAGACAAATTGAATAAATTACAAAGCAGTATAACAAATAGAGCTAACAAAGTTATTAAATCCTTGGACAATGGCCTGTTTATCATGTATCTGTATACCATTTTGTTCAATAAAATCACATTGCATTTTTTCCCGAGCTTTCATTAAAATATCATTTATGGTTTTCCAAGTTGCCTTAATATTACTTTTGACACGTTTAAATTTGGAAAAATAATATTCTCGTTTATGTTTTCGTATCTCACTGTTTACAACATTTCTATAACACGAGTATACATTTTTCCGATAACGAGATGGATTTTTGATATATTTCCGAAATAAAATATTTTTCTTTTTGCACATTTTTTTAAGTTCAGCATCAAACCAAGGCTTTTCTTGTCTCTGTTTTATTTTCATTTTTTGAAATGGAAAGCATTTATTGTACGTTTCAAGAAAATATTTCATAAAAACATCAAAAACACTGTTAACATAATCAAATTTTAAAATCTCACCCCAGTTTGTCATAAGTAGCCTTTCACAGAACATAGAAATATTTGAGTCATTTATTGCACGCTTGTATATTGCACCAGGATCATCATCATGAATGAGAAATTGCAATTGACAAAAAATAGAGAGATGATCACTCACATCAGTGAGGAGTATCCCAGCATTGATATTATTTTCAGGTCTGTTCGTAAATATATTGTCTATGAGGGTGACAGATTGTGTAGTTATTCTTGTAGGTTTAAGAATCAAGGGAGCAAAAGAATAAGACTTTAAAATATCAATAAAACTATTAAAATTGTTGAACGAAGAAATCTTTAACAAGTCTAAATTAAAATCGCCAATTAAAATACATTCTTTTTCCTCTGTTGTTACTTGATGCAGGGGTATTTATAATGCATTTAGAAAAAAAGGAACTGAATGAGCAGGTGGTCTATAGAAGATAGCAAGAATTTTATTTGAATATTAACAGTATATTTCAATAAAAAGAACTTCAATGAAGTCATTAAAATATCAATATCTGAACGTCTCTTAAATTTCAAGCCATTCCCTACATAAAAACCTACTCCTCCACCACGTTTCTCGGCTCTCCCTTCTCCAACAAACTGGTAACCATTTATGTTTACACATTCATCATTTTTTAACCAAGTTTCAGATAGTGCTATTATAGAAAATGGACATTTGATTTCTGATAAAACATATTCAAGACTGTTAATATTCTTCTTCAAACTTCTACAATTAAAATGGGCAACAGTTACAAATTTCTCTTCGGAATTTGAATCATGAATTTTCTTATCATAGTCTGATGTTGTATAGTAATATGTATTTAAACCAAAATCATCTTCCAGAGCCCGTAAGGAAACTAAGTTATCTTCACAAACATGACATGTAAGATTATTTATATCAGATGTTTGCCTTTCACATACTACACATGCAAATCGTGACATTACACTTAAACACAGAATATATCAAAAATAAATAATAGCATTGAGAAAGAAAAAAATATACAAATGGGGAACAAAAGTTGACAAAGGGAATTGCATCCAGAGACATTTATCTATGTATATATATTGTTTTTTCTTCATAGTCATAACATATCAGAGGGATCAAATCCCCTCATGATGAGAACTGGTTTGAGAGTTTATTATATTGAGTTGTTTCTGTATAAATTCATTGATTTAGACTGATTCTATCTTATTAAATAATTGTCTTGGGGATGGGAAGAGGATGGGTAAAAAAAAACACAGCCACAAACATTTTGACTTACTTGATAGTAAGATAGGATGCGATAGCGATGACCAGACACAGACATGATATAGCACACCCAATGATACTCAATATACGGAGTGCAGATTTCGGAGGTACTGCATCAACATGTATGTTCTTCAGCGTGACCCGTGTGCGTGAGCAATAAAATAAGATTACAGTAAAGAATTAGTGAATCTGTATACATTATGAATTTCACTCATTGATAACAGGTTTAAAAGTAACACGTCGGGTGAAATCATGCAAACATGCAAACAAGCCACGTCACGCCATTCAATTTTATAAATCCTAATTTCATTGTGATGATGACAATCTCTTCTTACATATGTCATTAACTTTAGAACTTCGGGCGAGCAATGTAACTGTCAGTAATGTTTTTAATTCGTTCACTACCCATGTCTCTTGATTAAATCCAACCTGTCTAACCTTCAAACCAATTAATCTTAAAACTTTTAAACCAAACTCACGTGAACTCAGTGGCGGATCCAGGATTTACCAATAGGGGGGAGGGGGGGGGGGAGGAGGCGGAAATGTTAAATTTGCGCCGACCGTTATTTTCGCTTAGGGGGGGGGGGGGGGGTGGTAGTGAGCACTACAAATACAATTGTTTTATTTTAATTTTACTCAACACCCCCTCCCTTGATAAACAGAAAAGAAAAAGGTAAATGTGTGGTTACCATCTATTTTTAACCCTTGTTTTTCCAATCCACGGGGGTGGGGGGGGGGGGGGGGGAGCCGTCGGGCCTTCCCCCTCCCCCCCCGTGGATCCGCGCTGGGTGAACTAAGTTTTGGGGGGAACTTGAGGCCTCTAGATAAAGGCGAATGGTGATATCTGGCCATCCCGAGTACAGGGTTGCCAGGCTGAGACTCTGCTAGATATTGAGAATGACCGACCTATTCTACCTTCATCACTTGTCCCGTAAACTAAAATACTAGCTGTCCGTTAGGAACACAGAATAAACAATCTCCCTATCCCCAGTCAAGGACCTCGTGGGAAGTAAGTTAACCGTGCCTTGCTCTGCATTTCGTACGATTAACAGTATATTTTTTTTAAATGAACAAATCTTTGTTTATTATTTTGGTTTAAAAAGTGTGAAATCTATTTTCACGTCTGTTCGGCATTATTTTCATTTGCAAAACGGTCAAGATGAATGACCAATAAAGTGAATTATCAAAAAAATAACAAGTAGGACATGCAGCTTTTATTGATTAACCTTCATATAGGATCCTATCTATTCAACAGCAGTCTCATGTTTACTTAGATGTTTAGTTTGAGGTGACTACGTTAACAAACTACTCATTCAGTTTGAGAAGGAAAAAAAAAAGCGATATATCTCCAACATGTGGAAGGAATAACGTACCACTAAAACGGCAAAGCTGGTCAGGTGGTCGCAGGCGCATGTGTAGTATTCATTACTGGAGCTATTGACGGTGTTATCAGGTAACAGTTGACATTCCTCCACAGACCATTTACCAAGATTAAACTCCCAGAAGGTACAAGTAGGATCGCTGGAGTCAGGCTGAAAGCAGTAAATTATAACCATATATATATATATATATATATATATATATATATATATATATATTACAATTTAGAGACGTGCGGCCCATAACCAGTGGCAACAGAACTAAGCACATGCCTATTTACGATATCTTTAAGTATAATAAATGTATACTATATATAGGCCTATCTAATTTTAAGCATCTGGGTTTTACCAAAACATCGGTTAGTGTAATGGATAAACAGTAGTGAAAAAATGATTAACTGATTGAATATTGATTGTTTAAAACACCAGTCACTGTTGTTGTTACTACCGCTCGTTTCTAATGAGAATATGCTCCAGCTGGTGATGATTGATCCGGGTGTGTTTTGTGAGATTTTTTGTATATAGTGGTGGGATTAGGTTTCCAAGTAATTATTATTTTTTGTTTAGTTTTAGGTGTATAGGTATTGTCTTTGGTCCAAGACCGAAGCTACGAATTGTGTTAATAATGGAATAGTGATAGAGCAATTGTCACCGGAGCATTTGTCACAACTTTTCAGTGCACCATACCATGCTTACCTCGAATCTATAGAAAGTGATATTGACACGCTCCATGAGATCCTCTATCTTCTGTCCACCGATTGTTAAGGACACCACTGGTGTATTAATCTCCCGGTTGAGTAGAGCAAGACTTGGTGAAGGAAACATGACATCATTGGCATACACAACGAAAGAAACCCTGAGAGACTCGATAGCGCTTTCATCCACCATTTTCACAGGACCACTAGACACTCCTGAAGCGGTAGTTGTGCCGTGGTTGTCTCCATTGGTAGTGTAATTAGAACTTGAAGGGCCTTCCGTGAACTCTGGAGTAGTGAAAACTTGGGCTACCTCGATGGGTACAACAACCCTGGCAAAGGTGTTCCTTGGGACAGAATCATTAGGGTCGTCTTGGTGGGTTTCTACCATGATGGCACTGTTGCTCAGGTTACCGGTGTCCATACTTAGAATGGTGACCACTATTCCGTTTCCAGCAGTGTCTGAAGGTACGTCAAGCACCTACAGGAAAGTATGTGCAGTTATAATTATGCAATAATACCATAAACTATTTCACAAGTCAACTACCGGCCTCTGGGCTCTCACCTAACTTCCATAAAGGAACAACCCACCAAGCTATTTACACACCTCTCCTCCAGCTATTCACAGGACCAGGACAGCCAACTACCAGTGGTGTCACTTCAAATCCAAAAGAGTGACCAATAATGACCCTTTTTTTACCGTTGGAGCGGGTATAAAATGGGTTCTAAATATGCGATATTGCTGCTCTAAACATTGAGTACACATTCACGAAATTATACCATACTATCACAAAATCATAATACACACACACATTTACGCGTTTGGAAACTAGACTCCTTTTTGGGGAGTTTCTTTCCCCTTTTACCCACAAAAATTATATCAAGCATACTCTCAACATTAATGAAGTGACACAATCGAGATTAAACACTAGCACAACTTCGTTTCCATATTGCAATATGCCTGTAGATCCCCCAGACATATAATCAGCATAGAAATACCCTCTAGCCCTTGGGATGATTGGGAAATATCCTAAATGGGGTATACCATGGCGTTGCGTGTCTACGAACGCTTCGGGTTCTCTGGCTCGCTTCGCTCGCCAGAATTTAAGGACTCCAACAACGCAAGGGCCATCGACAAGAGGCTATTGCGTGTCCGGACAGAGTGTGTATCTCAACAGGTGATTTAAAACAGAAATTTGAAAAAGGTTATATACAATATTCCATACATCTTTTAAGACTTCTATTGGACAATGTCCATAGAGGACGAATATACATGATGGTCAGTGCTATTAGATGCTTATTTTCCCCAATATTCAACGGCAAACGTGACAGCTTTACTTTTGTTAAGTATCCGGCCACATAAAGCTCCGTCCTACTTGTACAAGGGGGGGGGGGGGGGGGGGTCCGAACCACGTCTTCTGCAACCCAGTCAACATGTCAATCATCTTAACAAAATCATGTACCACTGTGTACAACGTTCAATATGGGCAGAAAGAATGTACAGATTTGTGAGAGTTAAGGTCTTGTTTACCTGAACTGCTATATTAGGATAAGTTGCAGCAAGCGTGCTGTTACCAACCTCGACGGTATTCAACTGAGATTCCAATACCTGGACGATGAGGGTAGTATAATTCCCATTCTCTTGGGCAGATGCTAGCACATCCTCGTCGACAAACATCACGTTATTTACTATTTCCACTATGAGACCGGTTACCTATGAAAGAAAATGTAAATATCATTACACGACAACCGACATTAGACTTTCTGCGTTCATTACAACAAGATACCTCAAAGCATCACAAGCCGTAATTGGAGACACGAATGTGTAGGGGTCTGAAAGTACGCTAAGCTTCTTATTTTAGACCCTTTACTTAAGTTTGGTTTGATAGATTATTTTTACCTGACTGCTATGTAGGATGCGATTGCTTGTAAATAAGCAGCCAGGGACTTGGTAATGATGATTTAATAATGCCTTACAAATCAATGGGCACTAGCATATCGTCTTGGTTTCGAACCCCGGACCTCCCGATAAAAAACACTGTTTTACCACTGAGCCATTGCTACTCTACTAATAATAATATAAAGTATACCATCACATTTATCATTCATCGTATATTGTATAGTTTTCAATAATAATTTGGAGAACTTTCTCTTCCACACTTAACTATACAGATGGGTTTGAACATGCTAGTTTTTCTTCTTTTCTTCTTTTTTCTCTCTCTCTATGTAAAATGATTTAGTTCTATATATAAGATAAGGTACGTGAAAGGAAGGGAAATGACCCATTAACTCACATTTGCATCAGGATTCGGGCTCCTTATGAGCTGCAGGATCTCATACAGTAATCCAATGTCTTCATCTTCAATTTCCTCATAGTTCTGGGTTATTGTAAAAACTTCTTCAGCAACATCTGTCACATTAGCTTCATATATCCCGTTCTTCAAGTATAAAGAGACACACATATTAGACGTTTGTAATCTTTACTGTAAAATTAACTTGTTGATAGCATAACAACATTGGGTGAGGGTGGGCTTCTACTTTTGCAGGCCTCGCAATTAACTTACAAGGGCTTTGCAAGAAGATTCGAAGAGGGAAGGGCGGGGCGGGGTCTAGACTAAATTTTGTCATTCACGCTAAATCTTGTCATTTTAGACAGCTGGCTCGGTAGGGCTGACGAATGATCATAGACGATATCCCACATTTTTTCTTATGAATATATAAATGCTCCCATAATTGAAATAGAATCGATGGATTGAAGGCATATTTAACTTCGGGCATGGTGGGTGACATAATCGAAGCCCCATACAACCCTGTGAGAAGTTTTAAACTACGTTAGAATGCGCAAATTATTTTTTCTTAAGCTTCAACGATAAGACAAAGTTGGACTAGTTGCACGTAGGAGTTAGGGTTAGGGTTAGGCCCCTTAAAATATACTTCTTAAGCTTCACTTTGATATGAAGCGGTAACCAGCGGCGTTTGTTTCTTTCTTTTAATGAAGACGTAAAGCTAAGTACACGTAGGCTTATTTTGTTCCATCGGATGTTCGCGTCTAGTCGGTTTGTCGGATTACACGACCTTTTGTAAAAACGTACCCCTATATTCACAAAAGGTTGGATGCTTTACGTCGCGCTACCCGATATTTTGTGAAAACATGCCCCTCTATTCACGAAAGGTCGTGTAAACTGAATGCAAATAATCACAACATTTTCAAAGATTGTCCTAGAGATAAGACTAATATTTGTGCATGTACATTTTTGTGAAAAACATGCTGTACGATCAAACAATTACGAAGTGTTGGTCGCGGTCCTTCATACGAACTGTCTTGTGAGTATTTATATCGTATTTAAAAAAAAGTCGGGTCAGGACGCCAATTCTCGTGGATTTGATGTTTAGGCTTGTCAAAAAGTGTCAGTTAAACTAGACAAGGACGGATTTTTTTTCTTCACAAACATAAGCCAGACCAGTCTGAGGATAGGGCTTGATTAGTCGCCAAAGTTCGTGTAACCCGAAGATGGGAAGAACTGAGAAAGCCATATAAGCTCTGTTGCGCGCAGTTGCCATTCATTTACAGGCTTATACAAATCGCCACGGTCTACGCCGCGGTCTACCTCTTCATAACAACTGGAAGAGCATCCAAAGTAATCAAGATGTAACTTGCCATCAATATTCTCCTTAATTCTCGAGTGATATTCTCTTGACATCTTATACTGGAGTTCCAATAAGTTTCGCCGTCACTAGAAACTTGGCAAACAGCTCTAATAATTGGTGCTGCAAGGCCTAAAAGAAATAACATGATTTAACAAATAAAGGAAAAAGAAGCTAACAAACATCATTTGAATACGATTTGCTATCTCTGCTACCAATCATGATGAAACAGTGTGAAATTGATGTTTTTCCTTATGAAAAATGGTAACATAATAATTTAGAAAACAAAATTAGACAAGCAAATGATGCGTTGTGTAGCAGTTGTGTCGGGGAAATAACACTGAAACAAAAATTAAATGCCAACATTTGCAAACAAAATCATTAAATGAAATCCCTGCCATTCAACATCAAGATTTAATTACAATCCATTTTAAGAATTAACTGTTTCTCCGTTTCAGTACCATCGATTGATTCTTGAACCCAAAGCAGTTTAGGCTCTTCTTTTAGAGAAAGTGCAAATATCGCTGAAAAATTTGAGTCCACTTCTGTGCAGTACATTGTGTCGTTCATTAAGTAAGAGCAATTTAATCGAAAAACATAATGGACGTTTCGAAATTGGTAACGTGAAGTGAAATTTATAATCACTGTTCTTTTGTATAAGTTGTGTGTTCAATTTCTTTCTGATTTTGTTTTTCTTTGGTAAAAGTTTTCATCCACACTGGTTTAATCTATGTTCATTTTTATTTTTTAAACTATGAAACAGTGGAAACTACGAATGGTCGAGGAAGGAAAGCTCCTTCATTTACACCCTTAAAAAACTCACATCACGTCTGACATAGCAACTCATATGATGGTATTGTATGGTCTATTGTAAACAGGTGGTCAGCTCTCACCAGGGAAAGAAAGGTAATGTGGAGGTATTGTATGAAATAATACAAGTCTTTTGTGAGCATATGCTGAGCTTGCACTGTCTTTTATTAGCTCACTTATGATTGACAGATGATGTCACAAGATGAGTGAGATCTGGAGCTTTTTTTAGGGTGGAGCTTAGCAGGTAAGAGAAATTATTGTTTCAAGTATTTTAAAAATCTATGAAATATATTTAGGTGTTTTAATAACAAAATATGACTTGTAGGCAGCCCTGCACATCAACAGGAATCAACTTATATTTAGATATCACCCTACCTTTAAAGTGTTATTTAAATTGTGAAATTTCTGTATACAACCACAAATTACTTACGGAATAGAGGTGTAGGGAAGCACCTTTAAGGCTATAGCCTATCATAAGCATATTGCATTGACCGAAAATGGCTTGTATATAACATTGAGTGAATGGAGAACTCATGTTAATATTTAAAAGATTGCGAATCCTAAATGTGTATAATTTACATGATTTATCAATTCATACTTTCCTGTTAGATATGTTTAAAGGTAATACAAAGTTTTGGTATGGGGTCGTGAATTTGGTTCAAATGAACACATTGGAAGCATATGCGATCCTACAATATTCACTGATCGTTGTCGCGGTCGAAATCGACTCTAAAGTTATGAAATTGTAAATAATAAACACTTTATGTTGTATAGCTCCCTCTCAAGGTCAAGATATTAATTAAGCTATAAAACAATGTTTCTTGACTAAAATCAACCGATTAGCTATTCCCGTTCAGAAATTATATACCACATTTGTCGAGACATTTGTATTAAAGGTAAAGACCAGTTATGGTCATGCGATTGCATTGTGAAAGAAACGTTGTGGAATCGATTAGAAAAGGTTGATCATCTAGCATATAAGTATTGGTGTGTACTGCAAGGTTCTGGAATCATCAAAATGATAAGATATATGACCCAGTCGTCGTAAAGTTACAAGCACTGTACACAGAAAGATGTATATGAGACTATACGCACACGTGCGCAACACGTGCGTTTATCTCTCACAGACCATGTAGATAAACTAATATACCAAATATATCAATTAGTAGGCGGTTTCCCGGCAATTTTATTATCATCATGTATTAGTCAAAACATATTCTTTCGCATGATTGGTAATAAGAGCTTCCATTTCATTTTTTGAAATTGGGGCGTTTCCAATACTGGTCTTTACCTTTAAGCGCTATATAAAAATTAAATATTATTATTATTACAACTACATATTCTGAGATTCTCATGGTCGCAGCTACCATTGTACAGCCGTAGGAGCTATTTGAAATTTATCAAAATTTACCGGGAGCACCGATAAATCTTTATTTACAATTTTTCTCGAAAGCAGAAGAGTTTTATGGGCTAAAGATTCTAGTGTTTTTAATACATCCACAGGGTCATCCAAATATATCAAAATTGTAAAGAATCACTATCCACCCATTTTTCAAAATTTCCCGAAACTTTGTAATACCTTTAATAAAAGTTTTCCTCTTATTTGGTTTAATAGACTACTGTGGCATTATAGTGCATAGCTACTCCACTACTCCACAAGAAAAAAAAAGAAGTTACACAAAATGTCTTCAAGAACTTTCATTGTCTTTTATGGTCAGTGAATTTTGGAATAGATTACCTATTAATGTCAGAATAAAAAGGTCTATAAATATTTTTGGATATTCTGTTACAACACATTGTTGAAGAAATCATGGAGGGAAAGTCCAATGAAATAGTCGCCCTACCCCACCCCCGATCCCCCCCCCCCCCCCACCTGGAAATTGTGAAAATCTGCAACTACATATTACCCTACCTTCAGAATCTACATCTGGGCACAATTCTTCCGAGTCGATTACGATTCCTACATCAGTCATCGGAAGTCTGGCCTGTCCGAATACAGTTTCCACCGTGGCGTTCCAACATAATTGGCGTTCTAATTAATGTAAATAGTAAATTCCGGTTATTTGTTAATATGTATTTTTTTAAAGGCTCATATTTCCAAAGGATCTGAATTTATTCCGAAAGATGCGTTACTCTGAAGGCTCATCTTTCCGTAGGTTCTTAATTCAGAAAATGACAGACGCCAGAATCGCTGCTTTTTTTTGAGGGGGGGGGGGTCTAACTTTCTTAATAATACAGCTTGAGAAACTAAGAGGGGAAAAAAAGGAGTTACATTATATAGAGAAAGGTGGTAAAACAATTGTAAACAGTAAATATATTTTAAAAGAGATTTAACAATTTGTATAAGATGTTGTATAGTAAGACAGAAGACTGTGAGGCAAATAATTTTGATTATTTCAGAAATGTGAACATGAAGTGTTTGACAGAAAAGGAAGCTGAGAGCTGTAAATTTCTGTTAAAAGAGACGGATGCATTGTCTACTATAAATTTAAATAAGTCACCTGGGAGTGACGGACTGAGTATTGAATGTTATAAATGTTTTTTGGAACAGATAATGGACAGGTTAATAAATAATTTAAACAAAGGGTATGGGAGACAAGGGCTCTCGTTCACACAACGTCAAACTATTCTTACTCTTTTGTACAAAAAGGGCACCAAGGAGTTTCTTGATAATTGGCGACCGATTTCTCTCCTACAGATTGCAAAACGTGTTTTGTCAATAGGGCTACAGCAAAATATGCCAGGTATAATTTCAGCTGATCAAAGAGGTTTTATATAGGGTAGAACTGCAAGTGAAAACATAAGCCTTGTACAAGACGTTATTGATTATTGTAAATTAACAAATATTGACGGTATCATTTTATTTTTAGATTTAAAAAAGGCGTTTGATAATATAAATCACTCATTTCTTATTGAGACATTGAAACGTATGCATTTCAAGAGTTCCTTAATAGCATGGATTAAAGCTTTAAACAACAATGCCGATGGTAGGGATTCACAGCATGGACGTTGTCAGAAACATTTTATATTCAAAAGGGAGTTTGTCAAGGCTGCCCATTATCAGCTTCGTTATTTATCTTAGTGGCAGAAATACTAGCAAATAAAATTCGAGAAAACCATAAGATAAGAGGGATTAGTATTGCAACCAAAGATATAGAAGTTCAGAAGGTTAGCGAAGTAAAAAATAACACAATTTGCAGATAATACCACATTATGTGTTGATTTAATGGATTCAGTAGATAATGTTATTTAGGAGACGATTTTGAATATTTTGCAGATCCAAAGATTAATTTGAATAAAACAAAAGTACTGAAAATGAAAGAATTAGATACGAACAAATATGATATTGAATTTACAGAAGAACCAATAAAACATTTTAATGTTTATGTTGGTAAAAAGGATAAATATATTATCAATATTGTTATGTAGTACTTGTATCACTCCCCCTCCCTTCAGTCATTCACCTTTCTCCCACCTCCATTATCCATAGAAATAACCCCATTATTCCTAGACACCGATCCCATTAATTTTTATTATAAACATTTGACCATTAATGACCACCCCAGAGTTAACTTCAAGGATCGAACCACAATCCTAGAACTATGACGCATAGGCCCAAACCCCAGTCACTTACACCTATCCAGTTCTTCTCATATCCAAGAAGGATACGGCAGAGAAAAGAGTAGTCACCGATTTTCGATACCTGACTTCTACAATGACCTCAATTCTGCCATTGAGTTATTCTTCCCATCAAGAGAAGTAAAGGTCCACTGCAAGGACAAACCTTGGATCACACCAGTGGTAAAAGAACTGATCAAGCGCAGACAGGCTGCTCTCAGTAGCTGCAGTCCCGAGTGGTCCAGTTTGAAGAACAAGGTCATAAGAGAAATCAAGAAAGCAAAAGTAGATTACTACAAGAATCGGATCCAAAGACTGAAAAACCAGAACCCAAGTGCATGGTTTAAATTTGTTAAAATTGCGACTAGTAACTCATCACCACTCAATGTTATCAGGGTTCCTGGAGTGGAAATAACTGATAGCCAGGCCATTGCTAATGCAATCAATCACAACTTTACTGACATCTCAGCAAACGTTCCCCCATTAGACTTACGACAACTACCAGCGTATCAGCCCATAAACCCTTCAAGTGTCATGGAGATTCATCCATGGAAAGTGTACTGTGAGCTGAAAAAGACACCAGTTGGTAAAAGCTGTGGACCAGATGGAGTTTCCGCAAAGCTGATTCGTGAGTTCGCAGCAGAGCTGAGTTCACCCATATGTGACATCATAAACACTTCATATAGGGAAGGTAAAGTCCCGTCACAGTGGAAAAGATCTATTGTCGTTCCGGTCCCAAAGAAATCTCCTCCCACAACAGATCAACTGAGACCAATCTCCCTGACTGACCACTTTGCAAAATTGGCTGAACTCTTCATCTATCGCCAACTACTGGCAGATATCGAACCTAACATTGACCCTCAACAGTATGGAAGTCGGAGAAGAAATTCCACTGCTGATTATCTCGTAAATCTTCTACATTTCCTCCACACCAATGCTGATCGGCTCCAAACTGTTTCCACCATTGTTGTAACTGATTTCTCAAAAGCTTTCGACTTAGTCAATCAAAATATCGCAATAAATAAACTCTTCGCAATGGGTGCTCGACCATCCCTGCTGCCATGGATCAGTAGCTTTCTTCATGGACGAGAACAGATGACAAGATACAACGGAGTACTTTCATCTTCTCTTACTCCAGTTGGAGGTGTATCCCAGGGTACTCGCCTTGGGCCAGCAATTTTCCTTGCGTTGATTAATGACGCATTGACAGACGCAGCAGGTATATCCAGATGGAAATACGTCGATCACATAACCTTCGCAGAAACCCGCAGACGAGGGTCAAGGAACATGATGCCTTCCACCTTAACGCTGTTCCATCAATGGTGTTTGGATAACGGTCTTCGCATCAACTCGTCAAAGTGCAAATCGATGAGAGTGTCCTTCTCACGGACCGAACTTCCTCCTTTGCATCTTGAGTTAGATGATGCAACTCTGCAGGAGGTGAAAGAGCTCAAGCTTCTGGGTGTCATACTGCAGCATAACCTACGTTGGGACAGCCACGTTCGTGATATCACAGGAAGGGCATCGCGAAAATTCTACATCATTCGGGCCCTGAAGCGTTATCGCGCCCCTGTGGAAGATCTCCTCACAATTTACACGTGCTACATTCGACCTGTGCTTGAGTACTGTGTTCCAGTTTGGAATTCATCCATTACATCTGAACAGGCCAATGATATCGAGAGAGTCCAGAGAAGAGCCCTCCGTATCATTTTTCATGATCGATACCACAGCTACGGACATGCCCTCCAGATTTCAGGTCTGCAATCCTTCTCTGACAGAAGGGAACATCTTTGCCTAAGGTTCGCAGAATCGCTCTACAAGCACTTTCGCGACTGGCTTCCAGAGATGCAGAGCACGAATCGACGATTGAGACCCAGTGAAAGATTGAGAGACTTTAAATGCCGAACAGAAAGACTTAGATATAGCCCTCTTCCTTACTTGGTAAGGACTCTGAACGAACATTTTTTCTGATGAAGGTCGCCCCTTGCGTGAAAGAGTACGATGAGAATGGACTGATGAGAAGGACGGGTTAAGTACAAGGTAACTCTCTAACCTTCTTCGCTTGTATAAGGTGATGATGAGAACTATAACGATAACAATGACAAGAATAGCACCAACAACGCTTCCTATGACAGTTGCTATGGAACTTGAAGAACCTTCAGCAGAAGTTGATTTTGGTGGAGAAGAAACAGTAGGCGAAGAGGTTGTTGTGGGAACTAGGATGGTAGTGAAAATAATGACATAAATTAGAAATACCAAGGTAGCATCACAGATAATGTTTAAATAATAAATAAAGACCCTATGATTCGAAGTAAGCCGTTGTGAAAGTTTTTGCAGTTGTTATTAAAAAAGATTAATATCTTGATACAATGTCATTCCAGGTCCTGTTTGTGATTCTGTGCTTTGCAGAGAAGCTTGCCTAGTAAAAGGGAATGGTTTCGTATTAAAGCCTTATCTCTGAAAGAATGACAAACCATGTAGGTTCAAAATCTAAAAAAAGTATTTAAATAGCAGGTGGGCTGGAGTGGTGAAATTGGTTATGTTTATTAAAGTAAAAGTTAGTTATGGTACTTGCATTGAAGGCCGTGGAAGATTTTTTTTTGAAGAACGACATGAGGGAAGTACAATGGTTAAGTCGGATGTAGCTCCGGCAGGCGTATTGCTCAGTGCATTGAAGAAATGAATCCTACCACGTACCCACTTACTACATTTTTAAAAGTTAGAATGTGGCAAGCGTAGATCAATGTCCTGCCAAAGGAAGTTGGGATGCGGTAGGGATTCGAACCCCGACCCGTACCGTGTTCACTGTCAGGAGCCCTAACCACTAGTCCACAACACATATATCTTGGATGCCTTAACTTCATCACAGGTGGAACCAGTGTAGTTTTGGGTACATGTACATGTAAACGATGAACCATCTACTCCATTTATACAGGGGTTCCTGTAACATGGGCTGAATGTTGGGAATACAAAACAGATTTGCAGTAAATATCACGAACAAGGGAAGACATTAGCAACTAAATTCAGTGGCCTTAGATTAGAATCATCGCTACAGCGAGCTTAATTGTTCTTTATAGTCACATCACTATGCTATCTATTTTTGTATATTCACGAAAGCTCAGTGTTAGAGCAGAGGTCTTAAGAAAGCCGATCCGCTAGCACCCTTTAATAAGGCATTAGTCCTCATTACCCAGTTTCTCGGATAGGCCTTAAAGCAGTCAGTCCCTGGTTACTCAATTCCAAGGTTTACAATGCATATTTAGCTGACAGGTAAAACAAACCATGTACCTGCGCTAAATACAACTTTTTATTGTACCGAAGTGTCTACCCTGTATTAAGAACATAGAATTAATAAATAGATATTATCTTACCTTTACATGTCAAGTTAGGTGTACTCCATGTGCCTATATGCTGACAGAAGCTAATTGGTTCACTATCAGGAATATAACTAACTTGACAGGTGTATAGAGCTATATCTTGATACACTGATCCTAGTATCATGGTGGATGCAAGGGCGACCTCTGGTGGGCTTCCCTCACACTCGACAGCTATTCAGGAAAACAGGAAAGACTTGATGAATATCATGTCATTGTTCATAGTTCATTGAGGGATGCTTATGTTTCTCTTGACATCCAAACATAGTGTTGGTACAATTTGTTATATTAATTTTGTTTATTTATCACTAGCATTAGCATAAACATACATTATAGTTATCCGTCATGAATTACAATTTTGATTGACGGTAATCATGTCGGAAGTTTCAACGACGCCTTTTTTCATGATTTAGTATTAAAACGATTTTCAGCAGCGTATTACTGAAGTTTGATATTTAGATATATTGACTGCTATGAGAGGCATTGCTGTTCGAACACCAAAGCAGTCTATATATCTTTTATATACCGAATTCACGAAAAAAAAAACTACAAAGAATTCTAACCTTATCCTTTTCTTGAGTAAAGATTGGTTAAAACATCACAGAAAATCTGTGACACTGTTTGTTAATCTTAGCCGGAAATTTGTCTGAATGTTACGATCATTCGGGAATCGCACACATACTGCACTGTATGATATCCGCGCTCGCACAACGAAACTTTTTACACGTAAGCCAATGGGGATTTCAGCCAAATTTAACTATGCGGCCTGTTAACCGAGTCAACGGGCATCGTTCTCATTAAATATTGACTGTTAGGCGGGCATGGCTAAAATCACGACCCCAATTTCAACTAATCAGATGACTAGATTTATTCAACATACTAAAGAGAGGTAAATAATTGTCACTACGCTAGCATTTACACCCCCGTCTCAGAGCATGACGTCATAAAATGTTCATGAATTTCGGAGAATCATCTGTAAACGTTGACACTGATCTCACATGAGTTTTCAAAAACGAAATATGGTGTAGTAGTTCATTCACTTGACTCTCATTTCATTCGTTGAGGGTTTGTATCTCATCTCGGTATAAATGTCCTTTAGCAACAAATAAATCCACATATGCCTGTATCAAGCCAGGTGTATATAGGCACTTGGTAATTGCAGGGGTAATGATCATTCGAGGGCCTGAAATAGCACGAGGAAGATCAGTATTAATGCTGATGGGGCTACTCTGTGGGTAAATAGGATTCAATCATAGTTCCTTTTTTTAACATGATTATGATCACTTTACCTTCACATGATGGTCTTTGATGATTCCATGCTCCATCATTCATACACCTTAAAATGCTTTCTCCAGATAATGTATAGCCCTCCTGACAGGTGAATTGAAGAGTAGCATCGACAGAGTAAGTTGTTCTATCGTCTGGTAAACGATTACCATGCAAAGGTTCACCTGGGTCACCGCAGGCAGGAATTCCTTGAAAATATATAAGACAAACTCTTTCTACGTATCACTGAAACATCCATTGTGATATTTACTTCATTCATTTATTCTATGCCTTCCTTCATTTACGTGAAGAAAACTGTAAATAATGTACATGATGTATCATGATTTTTAAACAAAACACAATTTTTGATTGCTCATATATTTTCAAATCACTTCAGCTAAAATTGTTGTCATCTGTTTAAAAAAAAAAACCGTCTTAAACATAGTCAGTTTGTATTTGTGTACATTACTATGACCCCATAACAGATATACAAAAAGTATATTTCACATTTTCTCACCAATTTGACATAGAGTCCGACTTCGCACTGAACAAGTTTGGTCATTCCATTGGTACTGACGTTCCCTTTGCATTTCAACACAGTCTTCGTTATTATTATTAGGTTCGTTATCGCTCCATTCCTCATAGTTCATTCGAGTTTCTGAAGAAAGAGATGAATGGTATGGTGAATATGATGTCCTTCTATGCGTTAGGAAGTTGCTCTGATTTCTGCTTTTCACTAAAAAGCCTTAATGTAAAAATATTAGCTTCAATTCTACTCGTACATGCAGATCTGTATTTGGAATAGTGAATTCCAGACACAAATCTTGGGTCTTTTTTAGCATACAAGATATAGAGTATGTAAGTTCTTGGTATTTGTTTACATTGCCTAGCAAAATGGCAAAATGAGCAAAATGTGTAGTTTAAAATCGTGTTTTCTTACAAAACCATTTAATGCATCATTTCTTTTCTTCAACTTTTAAAAAATCTTGTCATTGTTTTCAAAATGTTATTTCTCAATTCGTTCAATTTTAAATTACTAAATGACCGATACATTTGATGCTGATTTCATATCGTATAATATCTCTAATCTCATTTCAATTGTTGTGTAAAAATAGGAACAAAATTTAATGGGAAGTTTTATTATATTGGCATTGAATACAAATAGTATACCGTTCAAATTTCTGTTGACAGTATATATCCTTTGGGTGCTAATATTGTTGGATTTTGTTTCAAAGATAAATGCTAGTCTTCCAATAAACAGATACTGATTACATTTTACTGTCACTATAGTTTCTGAGGAATCACGTACTATCCGACCAATACCAGGACCGTCCGACGCCTACGTCATAACCACCAATCCACCATGCCGTGTTTACGCCTAGGTCTCTCAGATACAGGGCTCGGTCCAGCAATAAAGCATTAGTGCTATCATCGAGTATTTCAGCCAGAAATCCTCCTCTCTCATTACACTCTTCAGCCCCGTCATCACAGTTCTTCGAAACATCCAGGAATTGGAAACAGGTGCCCATGTATTCTAGTACCATGTCGGATTGGTTAAGACCAACACTCTGACAAGATTGATCTAAAGATTGCACATGCATAATTCGACAGATGCATGAACTTTCTTTACAAAAAAGAAGACTTCAACAAAAAATAAATCATGAAAACAATAAGTTGATCAAACTCATAAAAAGAGTTGCAAATTTATTATCAGCGTCCTTAGGATATGTCTGTTTTTAATCAACCTTAATTTTGGCCAGGATCGGAAACGTTATGCTGTTATGGCATGCACAGTACAGAAATGTAAAGTTCGATAATAGTTTTTGTTGAATATTTTTTAATTGGAAAATATCACGGGGTCGTTGAATAAAATCTAATAGTGTATCTACAAATGTCTAATTTTGTTTACTATTCAAACACTCTTTATTGGGATACCTTTATAGTTATCGTAACAATATCATATTCGTAACAAATTGTAGGCCTGAGAAAATCAATACGAAACAAGAACATTTCTAAATTTGCGAGAGGTTAGGATACTCCAAAGCTTCCTCCTGTAAAATTAATGAATCACAATAACTTGAGTGCCGATATTCGTGAAAGTAAATTTCATGCCGCGAGAACGGAGGTCATTAACAAAAGTCATTAATTCTAGTAAGAGCTAAATTTGCTTGTACTCACTATATTGGCATAGCAAACCAATCTCGTCTCCTGGTGACCTAGGACTCCATGCGAATTCCCCTGAGTTACTCTGATATGATAATCCGATGCAATCTCCCGAGCTTTGATCAGGGTATGCTATCTCCCAAAAGAAGCGATCGATGTATGTGTCACCTGATTAAAACATATCGATAAACACTGTCAGAACTCTTATAAACTGGCGTTAGAAAACCATTTTTCTCAATTCTCATCGTAGGGGGTGGCATAACCAGGTATAAAAAGACACTGCATAAGTATCCGCTCATTTGCTCTTGATGTACAAGATTGTGTTATATACAATGTATCATACATAGGTTTACAAAAACACTATTCCCCCCCCCCCCCCCCCCTAAAAAAAAAAAAAAAAAAAAATGTCAAAGGTACTGACGTTGCTTAACCGAATATCAACTGTGAATTGTCCATTTCTTTAAAAGTTAAACAAAGTTGTAAAGTTCTATAATGTATGTTCCCCTATGTATGTACTACGCAAACGTACCATGTTCCCATTTAGTCTGGATTGAATAAAGAACTTACTTTGTCTCCATTTCCAGTCTAGACCTTCCCTTGCACCGATCCAGACCCAGCCAGGACTGCGAAGGTTTTCTTCGGTTAATTGGGCAATAAAGTTCTGCATGTCAAGATTTTTTACCGTGACAAGTAGCTCCCCGTTATCATAGCAGAAGTCAAATGAGTCCCCCCACGTCCTATATGTATCACTTGTACGAAAGCAGGTGAGATCAGTGTAACGTCTAGTATCGGCTGTATCACACTTTCCTTTGAGATACAAAACATATGATCGAATATATGGTTATAAAAATATTTCCTTAAAAAAAAACATCGTACAGAAAACAATACCACGGATAAAAATGAAAATCTATGCTTCTCTCTGCTTCTTCTTAACGAGTCACTACACAAGTCCCGTCCAGTGGTCCACGCAGGCTTTGGCACGGCAATTCACGGCTTCCAGGTCATCTTGGGTGCATGGCTCTGGCAGGAGTGGGCAGACAAGCAGGTGTTCCATTGTCTGTTCCTGGCCGCATTCACATGTTGTTTGTTCATCTCCTAGACCCCATCTCTGCATTAGGACCCTGCATCGTCCGTAGCCAGTTCTTAGGCGGTTGAGGCTCAGCCAGGTAGGCCAAGTCTCACTGGAGCCGGATGTGAGGGATTCCTTCGGGCTGAGGGAGAGTTTATGTGGAGTGGTCTGGATGTGGTTAGACCACAAAGTCATCCTTTGGTTGTGAGGGCTGGTATTAAGGGGCTCTACAGTGTGCAGAAAGCTGCGTCTGGATTTGAGCCTCTTGCCCACTGGCTGTTGTTCGAAGAGTGGGTAGAGTTGATTATTCTCTTGTTTGTCCTTTTCTTTCTGGGACAAAACCAGTCTTCTGACGTGTGGAGGGGTGATACCGCAGAGCAGGTAGATGTCTTCTACTTCAGTTGGCCTAAGGCAACCAGTGATCGCTCTGCAAGATGAATTTAGAGCTGGATCGATCTTGGATGCGTGGGCCGACCTACTCCATACTGGTGAAGCATACTCCGCAACAGAGAAGCAAAGCACAAGGGCTGTCGTCCGGATTGTTCTGGCATCAGTCCCCCAGTTGGTGTTGACAAGCTTCTTGAGGATGCTATTGCGGGCTCCAACTTTTGCCTTTGTGTTGGCAGTGTGGTTCTTGTAGGTTAGGGAGCGGTCCAGTGTAACGCCTAGGTAAACTGGGTTGGGTGTGTGCGCTTCAGCCTTTTCCCATACCAGCTGATCCTAAGTTGATGGTTGGCATCCCTGTTCTTGAGATGGAATGCACTTATCTGAGTTTTATCAGGGTTAGCTCTTAGGCGGTTGGTCGCGTAGTATGGGATTCCGGCCAGGGCACTACTGAGGGACTCCTCCAACTTCACAAAAGGCTGGTTCTGGGTGGCGATGCAGAGATCATCGGCGTAGAGGAAGCTCCTGGTGTTTGGATGGATCGGTTGGTCGTTCGTGTACACGTTAAAGAGCAACGGTGCGAGCACACTTCCTTGTGGTAGGCCATTTTTCTGCCTGCGCCAGCTGCGATTGCCGTTGAGGATCACAACAAAATTGCCGATTGGACAGCAACGTCTGGATGAGTCCAGTCAGTTTCACATCCTTTGTCAGCTCAAAGATCTTCCTGGTGAGGATTCTGTGGTTCACAGTGTCGTAGGCAGCAGAGAGATCAACGAAAGAAGCTCCGGTGATAAGGTTACTCTCATACCCGTCCTCAATGAACTGAGTGAGGTTTAGGAGTTGGCCAGTGCATGATTTTCCTGGCCTAAACCCTGCTTGTTCCGGAATGAGATGTTCATCCACGAATGGGGCGATGCGGTTGAGGATAAGTCGCTCGAACAGCTTATATGTATGGCACAGTAGGGAGATAGGTCTGTAGCTCTTTGGGCTGGCTGCGCCTTTGCCAGGCTTCAACAGGGCAATAACTTTGGATTTCCTCCAGAGCTTTGGGATGTTGTTGGTGCCCAAATATTAGTTGAACATTTTGAGAAGCCAGTTGAGGGCGCCTGGTCTAAGTTGTTTGATCTGCTCGCAGAGGATGTCATCAAGTCCAGCACCTTTGTTGTTTTTCATTGCTTTGATGGCAGCAAGCAGGTCGTTCATGGTGAACGGTTTAGTGAAGCCTGGGACATCTTGGGAGTTTGGAGCGTCTGGGACCTTAAGGAGCCTGGCTCTTCAGGGGTAATGGTCAGGGTTTCCCCGGCCATTCACTAGGAGTTGGTGGGCAACTTGGTTGGCAGTGACTTGAGATCTTGGTTGGGCCTTTGTATAGTCGTTGCCCAGTTTGTATGTATTAGCGCTAAATAAGAATCAATTATTATTATTATTATTATTATTATTATTATTATTATTATTATCATTATTATTATTATTATTATTATTATTATTATTATTATCCGGATCTTTTTCCATGCTTTCCTGCTGCTATGTGTGGATCGTATGAATTCTTGCCACTTCCTCCTTCTAGATTCACCAATTTCCTTGGTCAAATTTTCTCCAGATTCCAGTGTCTCCTCACTAAAGGGGTCCATCTGGAAGTGTTCGATGTAGTCTTTATACATCACCTTGGAGTGGTCCGTCAAGCCTTGAATGTAGTTCGTGCGACAGCCTCGGGGGATGTTACGCTTTGAGGATTTCTTCAAAGAAGACGAAAGACCTGATGCATGGCTGATCTTCAACGAAACGGAGTTAAGTCTTTTGTCAACTCTGTTCATTGCTACGGCAGGCAGCCAGTGAAAACGAACTCGTTTGATCAAATTATGCCACTGCAAGTATTACAAACAAACAGAAATTTGTTATTCCTGGCCATTTTCCTGATTGAGGTGTCATATGAAAGGGCAGAAATGGAACTTTCTAGGAATGTGATTTTCTCCTTGAAATTCAGATACCGCCCGCCAAATGACTTTTTGGTTTCCTCTCTTGAAATTGCTTTCAATCACTCATGTGTGAAATATGCATCATATGAAATGCAAATGAAAGAAGATGATCTTATCTTTCCAAATATGTGTCATTTATTAATCATAATTGTGGTTAAGTTATGATAAAACACCGATAGTTCTCGGTTTCATTTGTTCTGGGACGCACTGTAGTATAATAAATTTCACGTCGTGATTTACTGGTGACGTAAAATACCGGCATGTTTGATAACCAGGTATAGTCGCTTTTAAGAAAATGGAAGAGAGGACTCATGTCTCTTCCCGTCACTTTCAGTACATTAGACATGTTATACCATTTTTTATTCGTGTAAATCTTCCCCTGCAAATGGATAATCCATGCTTTTTATGTATTAATCTAAAATCAACAACTGTACCGTTTTCTAGATTTCTTGACAAAGTTGATGATATAAGAAGCAGATTTTAGCCTAATATGTCTTAACTCATAATACTGTGTCCCAAAAGACAGGTTAAAGGAAACTAAATGTATGCGACAATACTGACAATACCCATTACTACGTTGGCCTCGATGTTTACACTTACTTTGACAGACTGGTGGATCGTTCTCCCATGTGCCATCTTGTAGACATCTATTGAAGTTACTTCCAAGCAGAGTGTATTCACTGCTGCTGCAGTTATATGATATCGTCTGGTTTACCACGGGATCTTCAGGCAATAGAGGATCGAGCATTGAATAGGCAGCTACGGGAGGCGATGGGCACACTATAGCTGCAGAAACATGAGGATTGATTATCAAACATGATCGCAACTACTTTCTAAAAATCAAAATGAGGCAATACATCAGTATATTAACATATTTTAAAATATGGATGTTTCATTCCTGGGGACCTAAAGCATAATGACTGAACTGCAATACATGGAATCCAGTCTGCATAAATTACTTGTTGCTATGTCGATCAAGCCTTGGACAAATTCTCGGGTTCTTAATAACAGGGATTTTTAGATTTGCGTAGACTGCTAAGTGTGACGTACTTTTAAGGCACTGGCAGTCACATGTGACGTCCACGCTGTCGTCGTGCAAATCTAAAAGTCCCTAACAACTCTTATTTAAACAGTATGCATAACATTTAAATATGTTAGTGAAGCGGTCTATTCCCATGGCCTTAAAAGCCATTTTCTGAAATATGCCAACATTACACTGACGAATTACGTAATCCAAATATAAAAAATCTAATGGTCAGGCAATATTGTATTGAAATTGACCTTGGGTGTTTTCTCGGATGTCTTTGTTATCGCTATGTTGTTATGTCATCGATTATCTATTACCTAATTGAATAAATTCGTGCCGCTTATTAGCAGTATGACGATTAACATAATTAATCTGGTAAAAATTAATATCGTACCGATTTACTCCATAATAAAACAAAGAGGATCATGATTTAGGAAATTGTTGCAGGTATAAGTCATTGTTTTCCAGAATTCAAAAAGAAATTAAATAGGGGTCCACAAGCTATAAGACACAAATACAATATCTACCATATAAACTTTGATACATGTCTCTTGTTTGTAAACTTGAGTCATGCATAGTTGGGTTTTTCCTTCTAAATTCAAAGTAACATATATTTTCTTAAAATTCTAAATATTATGCGCTGATTAAGATTTATTTATTTGAGCAGGTCAAGCCCGTACCCGTGCATATGGGTGTATGACCCAGCCAGGACCCGTCCTCGAAGCACACCCATACAGCAGTGTTTGTCAGGCCATCCATCATGTATCCATCGCTGCATTCCCATGTGATATAAGAACCTGTATCCAGTGTTTGGTTCGGCAAGGTTGTTATGGTGTTAGGTATGGGGTCTGGCATGACACAGCTAGCTGATGTCAAACCTGTGGAGAGGATATATAATTGATGTCCTATCGAAAACTTGTCACTGTCATGCTGACAAACGGCGATTGAAACAAAAAACAACTCCGCCCCTAAAAAACACAAAGGTTTTTCACCCTCCCTGAATTCCCCCTAAATGTCATCTGGTACTAATTTACACCTTGTAGGAGAGTGGCAAATTTAGATTAACGTCTTGCCAAAGGACATTAGTACAAGGCTGAGATTTGAATCTCGTATATTGTGACCTACAGTCCGGTTGGCTTTTCCACTAGACCCCAACACTACTGCATTATTATCATAGATTTTCTTCTGTGTACTTAAGGTGCATGTGTGCCAGATAATGGAGGGGGTGTCGAAAGGGCATCTGCAAAACCAAAACAACAACCACAATAAGAACAAAAACCAGTGCCCCACAGAAAGTAATGGCACCTCCCTCAATTCACCCAGACAGCCTACACTGCCAGTATTTGTTTAATAAACACAAAACATTCCTTTGCTCTTTGTCATCAGTCATGTTTACAATAGCATGATAACTGCTCCTAAAAAACGTTGATTTCGTCATATTAATTATCAAGGTCAACAGTCGATCTAATACATAAAAACTAGGTTGAACAATTACGAGGAAATTATGGTCAAACAATTAAACGCATTAATTGAACAAGTAATTGAAATCAA